CAAAATATGACCTTGAACATATCCCACCTGAATTTAAACATCATCTCAGGAACAGATTTGATGCATTGGACACTAATGACCAAAGACCAGAAGAGCTGTGGGATGACATCAAGAACATCATACAGAAAGAAAGCAAAAGGTCATTAAAAAGACAAGAAAAAAAGAAAAGACCAAAATGGATGTCAGAAGAGACTCTGGAAGCACTCATTCATCTATGCCAAAAAATCTGGAAAGCAGTTACTTGGACACCTAATTGAAAAAGATCTGTGTTTGTGCCCTTTCCAAAGACAGGTGACCCAATGCAAGGCGGAAATCATCAGACAATATCATTAATATTACATGCAAGTAAAATTTTGCTAAAAATAATACAAAAATTGCTGCAACAGTACATTGACAGGGAACTGCCAGAGGTTCAAGCCAGATTCAGATGAGGATGTGGAACAAGGGATATTATTGCTGACATTGGATGGATCTTGGCTGAAAGTAGAGAAAACCAGAAAGATGTTTACGTGTACTTTATTTACTATGCAAAGGCTTTCGACTGTGTGGATCATGACAAGCTATGGACCACATCATGGAGAATGAGTATTCCAGAACACCTAATTGTGCTAATGAGGAACTGGTACATGGACCGACAGGCTGTTGGTCAAATAGAACAAGGGGTCACTGAATGCTTCAAAATCAGGAAAGGTGTGCACCAGGGTTGTATTCTTTCACCACATGTATTCAATCTTTATGCTAAGCAAATAACCTGAGAAACTGGATTAGATAAAAAGAACGAGACATCAGGATTGGAGGAAGCCTCATTAACATCCTGTGACATACAGATGATAGAACCTTGCTTGCTGAAAGTGCAGATGACTTAAAATACTGATAAAAATCAAAGACCACAGTTTTGGGTATGGGTTGTACCTCAATGTAAGTAAAACAAAAATCCTTACCACTGAACTAATAAATAACATCATGATAAATGGCAAAAAGATTGAACGATTTTACTTGGCTCCACCATCAACACTCATGGAAGCAGCAGTCAAGAAATCAAATGATGTACTGCATTGGGCAAATCTGCTGTGGAAGACCTCTTTCAAATGTTTTAGAGTGAAGATGTCAGCTTGAGGACTGAAGTGTGCCTGATCCAAGCCACGGTATTTTCAGTCATTTCATATGCATGTGTAAATTGGACAATGAGTAAGGAGGACTACAGAAGAATTGATGCATTTCAGTTATGGTGTTGAAGGAGAACATTAAAAGTACCATGGACTACCAGAAGAACAACCATATCTGTGTTGGAAGAACTATAGCTGGAATGCTCCTTTAGAAGCCACACTTTGTCTTTCATACTTTGGACATATTATCAGGAGGGGCCAATCCCTGAAGAAGGACATCATGCTTGGTAAAGTGGAGGGTCAGTGAAAAAGTGGGAAACCCTCAATGACATGGATTGTCACAGTGGCAACAGCAATGGGCTCAAGTGTAGCAGCAATTGTGAGGATGGCACAGGACTAGGTGGTGGTTCGTTCATTTGTGCATAGGGTCGCTATGAATTGGAACTGACTTGACAGCACCTAACAACATTACATTGGATGTTTATACCCAGGAATGGGGCAGATTACCCAGTAAGCAAGGTAAGTAGAGGTAAACGATTTTAATGTGGTAAAAAGACGGGTGAAATTGTTCACTACACATTAGTAAGCAAGCACAAGTAAGCCCGAGTGTACCTTGCTTATTGGGTAATCTTGCCTTGATTAGGGACTGCCTGTAGTTGGAACATCTGTTGTAAGGAATGAAAGGCCCTAACCTACTACTGTAGCCGGCAGGGCTGGACGTGACCAAAATTCACTTCACTCAACCAGATCATTTAGACTACTGCTCTTCTTGTTTATTACAGGGAACAGAGTAAATGATACCTAATCCCTTCACATTTATATAAGAACCAACCTCAGAAATGTTAAATAAATTATTTCTTTTACGAGGATCAGCAGAAAGGTGGTTCTGATGAGGTCAAGGTAAAGACATTCCAAATGTACTTTTCCAAACTGCTGAACCATTTCATCCTCTCTAACATCAGCTACTCTTCCACCCCTCAGCACTCTCCTTCCCATCTTTGTGTTCCATAATTCACTGCACTGTCTCACAGAACCCATGAGCATTCAAGGAAATGGTTTATGCAGTTATGGAGGTTGGCAAGCCCCAAAGCCATGGGGCAGGCACCAGGCTTTCCTTGACTCATGTGGTTGCAGGGGCTGGTGAACCCAAATTGGCAGGTCACATGATAGGCTGTTGGTTCAAGTTCTAAGGACTGAAGGTCAGATGATGAAGGGACGGGACGGGGTCCAGAGCAAGAGAGAGAACTCTGCCAGAGCATTCATGTAACAGCACTTGTTGCTTAACATCCCCAGTATATTCTGTAAAATAGGATGCTATGTGATCTCAACATCACAGACAGGAAAGAGGCATGCAGGATGGTCACTGGACAGTAGTCACACTGAGGGACTGTGTGAAAAGTTTGGCTCCATTGCCGCCATTACTGCATAGTTGACACCCCATCTCCAAGAGCCACGGCCAGTCCCCCAGCTGCCTGCCATTGTACACACTCAGCATCCATCTGGCTGGCTGCCTCTTGGTCCACCTGCAGTGGCTCCCTTCCCTTTCTTCCTCCCTGCCTCATCTAACGGACTTTAAACTCTTCCAGCCCCAGCCAGCTCTCCTGCTCCTCCTGCTGCTACCACTACTGCAGTTGGATTGCTCAGTAGCCATGTCCCTGGGAAGTCCAAGCACCAGGCGCAGGGCACCCAGGCTGAGTCGGGCAGCAGCCTCAGTGACCTGAGTGGTCCCTGCCTGGGGTTAAGTGCAATAGGACAGGCAGCCGTGAGTGGACACTGGGACACCCTCCCAATGCAAAGCCAGGGCAGATGTAGGACCTGAGAGTAAGAGAAAGGCAGATCGGACCTCCTTACCTGTATGTCCTAGTCTCCAACCCGGATTTCTGAACTATATTGTAACCTTATGGAATAACAAACATGTATGTGGCTGGACGCTGCCTGAATGGACATTAAGTGATGTATAACTGTCTATACTGTATATATTGGGGTCCTGGTGTGGACTGCTAACCACAAGATAGGCAGTTCAAACCCACCAGCAGCTCCTTAGAAACCCTACTAAGGGTCACTATGAGTCAGAACCGACTTGATATCACTTAACAACAATAGCAACAACTTGTATCTATTGGTAACCCCTCTTGGGCAAGATGGAGCAAGGGTGCAACTTGAATAAGGGTACTAACGATGGTGACTATGAGGATAAGGATGCTTAACTCAAAGTGATACCCTACCCCAATCCTGCCTTGTCAAATTATAGCTCCCAAATGGAATCATACCATAGGTATGGATGCAAGGAGTTACAACACATCACAAACTGGAGGACAAGTATGTCAGACCACACAATGTTGAATGAGTACATCATTACTTAACTGCCAAACTGCTGAAAATCACAGCCTTACCAAATTGACACATACCCTTAACCATCAGAGGTTCCATATTTGCATTAGCAGCAAGATGTCCAATATCCTTGGTGGTCCACAAGAACCCCACTTCCACAGTCTCACACAACCACTGTATGTGAAAGGCTCTGACTACAAAAGCCATATTAAGTTAATGAGTGCCTCACAAGCATAACCTTGGAAGAAATGAACCAATGTCAAATCAACCTGAATGAATTATACTCATTAACAAAGCTAGAGGGTTAACTAAAGTCAGTGTTTTTACAAGTAGATTCACTAGCATATGTGGAAACAAAAATGCAAACTGTCACAAGAATTACCTAGTTAGTGAGGTATCCTTTGTTTCAAGAGCCATCGCAATGTCAACCAAAGCATTCAGGTATCTGGAACCAATGCTAGAGAGGCTGGCAGGGGACAGATTCACACTCTCCAATAGAAGGTCCTGAAGGTGCTTAGCTGAAAACATAGGCGTTCGTTCCATGGTGACTAACATGCTTTGTTTGTAATAGTTTCATTCACATATCATGCAATCCACCCATTATAGTACATGATTCAGTTGCTTTTACCATACATGCAGACAACTGTGTGTCCATTACCACAGTCATTTAGAAAATCACCATCACCCCACAGAGAGACTCCCAGAGCTCTTAGCCATCATCTTCCAATCTCCCTCCCCCACCCCCAGGCTACTAATCTGTTTCCTGTCTCTATAGATTTACCTATTCTGGGCATTTCAAATAAATGGAATCGTACTATATATGGTCCTTGTACCTGGGACCTTTCACTTAACGTTTTCAAGGTTTATGCAAGTGGTAGCATGTACTACTTCATTTGTTTTTATTACCAAATAACATTCTACTACATGGATGTGACCAAAACCCCAAACCTGTTGTTGTCAATTCCAATTTGTAGTGATCCAATATGACAGAGCAGACCACCCCACAGGGTTCCCGAGATTGTAATTTAAAAGTAGCAGACTGCCACAACTTTCTCCCGTGGAGTGACTGGTGGGTTTGAACCAATAACCTTTTGGTTAGCACCTGAGCAGCATAGCCATCGCACCACCAGTCTCCCGCTGCATGACTATCTTGTTCTTACTGTTAGATGCCGCTGAGTTGGTTCTGAATCACAGCAATCCCGTCTAGGGTTTTTGAGGTTATAAACCTTTGTGGCATTAGAAAGCCTCATCCTTCTCCCACTATATGAATATAACAAAGTTCACTGATTCATTTATAAGCTGCCTTGCATTTGGACTGTTTCCATTTTTTGGCTATTGTGAATAATACTGTAGATATTCATGGTGGTGTTTTTATATGGACCTATGTTTTCATTCTTCTTAGGTCTATACTAGGAGACTTGCTGGGTCATATGAAAAATGTATGTTTAATCTTTTGAGGATTTGCCAAACTATTTTGCAATGGGATGGTACTATTTTATATACCCACCAGGTACTATTTTATATACCCACCAGCAGTATAGGAGAGTTCCAGTTTTTCCACATTCTTACCAAAACTTGTTATCTGATTCTTTTAATCCTAGCCAGTGCAGGGCAGCTAATTATTTATTGGGACCCTTCTAGGCAAATTTCTACGTTCTGTGATGTATTCTAAATCCCAGCCTCTATGCCTGCAATTACAGATACATTTTGAAGTGAGTTGCTGAGAAGTAAGGGAGCCCTGGTGTGGCACTGCGGTTTAATGTGCTGGACTGCAAGGTTGGTGGTTCAAGCTCACCAGCCACTTCTCAGAAACCCTATACAGGGTCGCAATGGGTCGGAATCGACTCAATGGCACTTAACAACAAAACCACAAGAGAAAGTGTGACTCAAGTCAATACCTTTAGTTTCCCTTGGGGGCATGATCTGACTCCTTTGGAGAAATTCACTCTCTTGCCCTGAATCTTACATCTGGCTCATTCATTACATCTTACCATCAGTTCGTGGGACTTTGGGCCCAGTCCTGACCTGATTCATCAGCTCTCACCAACTCCAGCATCAACAGTCTGTTGTCTGACTTGCAACACTGTGAGTATGTAGGTGAGATTACTTCAAAATGTTCTCTGAACTATGGATTTGGGACTTGCCAAACTCATAATTGTGTAAGCCATTTTCTTTGATAATAGTGTTTTAGGAGGCATTCCTGCGTGTTGTAGAACCCTGGGACTTGAGGGAAGGGAGGAATGTGCTGTTGAATTAGTTCTGACCCATAGTGACCCTGTATAGGGTTTCCAAGGAGCACATGGTGAGTTTGAACCGCCGACCTTGTAGTTCAAACTGACTTTGCAGTACAGTGCATTAACCCACAGCGCCACATCAGGACTTCATAGAGGGGTACAACATGTCAGAAAGTCAAACAGTTGGGATATCTTTAACCTCCAACTCATAGGGTGTAGCCTCATGCTGATCTTTCTGAAAGAAATTATCCACGTAACACTTGTCTGTCAGCTTGTCATACTGTGGTAGCTTGCACATTACTGTGATGCTGGAAGCTATGCCACCAGTATCTTAAATACCAGCAAGGTCCACTCATGGTTGATGGGTTTCAACTGGGCTTTCAGACTAACACAGACTAGGAAGAAGAGGCAAACCCAAAACAAAGATGGCAGTATGACTGGCTACTACAAGAACAAGCAAATTGTTTGCTGGGAAGCCATCAAGGCAAGTAATCAGGTCCCTTCAGGACAACTCCCCCCCTTCCAAGACTGAAACTCAAAGGGAACACATAAAGCAGGCATGAACGTTTGCTGATGACCACACTGGTCTCCTTTTGAGTGGAGGAAGGGGAAAGGCAGCAATGAAAAAATGGGCTGAGTTCCACCTTCCATAGATTCCCGTTCAGCTGGAGAGGAGAGAAGAGGAAGGGCTGGTTGGTCCAAAGTATGGTGAGAACTGGGTACTCCTGAGCCCATGGACAAGGACACAGATAGCCACAGAGGGCTAGAGCTGAGAGTGAAGCATCCAGCTGATTTGAAGTGAGGGGAGACGTACAAGAACGCTCAAACTTGCAGCTAGTACCCATTTGACTTAGCCTCGATGCTTTAATAATCAGAACTCTACTGTTGTTGTTATGTGCCATGGAGTCAGTTCTGACTCATAGTGACCCTGTACAGGGTTTCTGAGGCTGTAAGTCTTTACGGGAGCAGAAAGCCTCATCTTTCTCCCGCAGAACAGCTGGTAGTTTCGAACTGCTAACCTTGCGGTTCACAGCCTGATTCGTAACCACTACGCTACCAGAGCTCCTTACTTATGGATGCAGTAGATCAAAATACCAACTGAGCGAGAAGGAGTCTTCACATCAAGTATCAATGCTACCCCTCTGTACACAGGGTAGATAGAGATGGGCAACTTAGACATTGGCTACCTAAAATGAGGGGGCGATAAAAGGCACAAAGTGACTGGCTTACAATTTTTCAAGAGGGAGTTTAAGAGCGTGCAGGGGAAGAGAGTCCCCACTAAATAGTTCTCATCTTGTCTAGACAGGTCTGGTGAAAAGAGATGGGGATAAGTCATATGATTCAATAGTGAGTAATTGTTATGATGAATAACTGCGACTGCCACAACTGTAAAGGTAGAAGTTTTGTAATAAAAATAGGGGAGTGGCTAGTCTTACATTCCAGGAACAGAGAACCCTAGGCCTATCAAGGGAGAAGAGCACAAGTGGAATGTAGGACCCTATCCAGAGAAGCAGCGACACCAGGGATGGAAGCAGAGATGGGGACATGGAGAGAGGGAACAGCTGAGGACTCTAGATTCATGGAAAGAAAGGGACTGAGTGCTGGCGGCCAGGAAGCAGACTTGCAGAATGTGTCCTTTGGTTCTGAAATTACTATGTATTCCTGAGTGGTTTTGTGTACATCTCCTCACTCCCACCTCCAAAAAAAACCAGAGAGAGAATGGAAGCAAATACTAGTGAATGATGATGTGTGGAGGAGAGTGTAATCATTGTAATGAGACGATGGTGTAAAGCTGATGTTCTCCCATGTAAACTATCACTCAGTTCACAATAAAAAAAAAAAAGAGAGACGAGGCAAACTACTTCTGAATGTTTAGTCACTGAAAACCTTATAAATAGCAGTGGAACACTGTCAGCACCAGAATATTGAATATTGAAACATGATGAAAAGCACCAGAATATTGTCAGATATAGTGTCAGAAGATGAGCCCCTTAGGTTGGAGCTTCTGGTGTCATAGGTAAGAAACCAATGTCAAATTTAAAGCTATATACATATGCCAATGCTCTCTTCTAAGAATTTTATGTTTAAGTCTTATATTTACGTCGATTTATTTTCAGTTAGTTTTATACTTGGTGTCGGTAACGGTTCAGCTTCATTCTCATTCATGTGGATATTTAGTTGTTCCAGAAGCATACATTAAAAAGATTATCTTTTCTTCCACTGAATTATCTTATCACTCTTGTGAAAAATTAATTGGAAGATCACCCTCCCACATGAAAGTGTGAGAAGTCCCACTGGTTGGCAATTCAAAACCACTAGGGGCATTCTAGTTTGTTCTATAGGGTCATAATGAGTTGGAATGGGCTTGGTGGCAGTGAGTATTATTATTTTTAATCATAAAACATTAATTATCTTGAACATACTTTTTCAAACATCCTTTGTCCAACAGAAAATCCACATGCAATCCACTGGGTCTACAGACTGGGGATTTGCCAAATCTCAGTTTGCGACAGAGCTACCACAAGGGTCCTATAGCTCATATGACTAAAGTATGGGGACAGGAGACAGAAATTACAAAGGCATCCATATGTCAGGCTAAGACGTTTCAAATGTATCTTTTAGGATTTACTATTGTGGCACTGAGGATCAGCACTGAACAGCTAACCACAAGTTTAGTAATTCAAACCCAGCAGTTACTCCTTGGAAACCCTATACAGGGTCACTGTGAGCCAGAACTGAACTAAAGATACTTAACAACAACACTGTGGCACTGAGGAGTCCTAGTATGACATTGTAGGATAAGCACTGGACTGCTAACCATTAGGGTGACAGTTCAAACCCACCAGCTGCTCTTCAGAAACCCTATAGAGTTGCTGAGTTGGAACCGACTCAAGGACACTTAAAAACAACATTGTGTCTCTGTAGGATAAGCACTGGACTGATAACCACTAGGTCAGCAGTTCAAACCTACCAGTCACTCTTGGAAACCCTATACAGGGTTACTGTAAGTTGGAACTGACTCAATGGCACACAACAAGAAGTCTACTGTTAAAGAGGTTCTGGTGGAGCTGGAGGATAACCACTGGATAACTAACCTCAAGGTCAGTGGTTCAAGCCTACCAGCCACCTCTTGGGAGAAAGATGAGGCTCCTGTAAAGATTTATAGCCTCAAAACCCTATACAGGGTTCACTATGAGTAGGAATCAACTTGATGGCAGTAGGTTTGAATTTTGGGATATATTCTGCTGTCAGAATACCAATAAACATTTATTGTACTGTCATGAGAGTTAGGATTTAAGAAAGTTACTATGGCAACGGCATGGAAGCCAAATCTGGGTAGAATTAAGAAGGAAAGCACCCTCTCCCCAGGTGTGACTACTTAATCTTTTAGGACTTATGGTGTTGCTGTCAGAGTACCAATAAAAGATTTAAGCAGTTGTGCACTGTCTAAATGTTACTATGACAAACCTGAGTAAAATAAAGCACAGCTAACAAGCTGTCTATACTAGATTAATCTTCTATTTGTTAGGGTTACAAATTGTGGTCACCTTTAGTCAATGCCTCTTTTCAAACTCTGAATGAATCTCACCTTCGGATTCATATTCACTGGCTTTCTGTTTCAAGTCCTCTATGACCAGGGAGACATCCCTGTCCCGGGCTTTGCTGCGTTCTGAAAGGTGATACAAAATCTCTGTGGTCCGTGGATTCGCCTCATATTGTGGAATGGGATGATCTCCAAATAATTTTTTCAACCAGGCAACAACCTAACCATTAAAAGGAAGACAGATATTTCACATTTTTTTCCATGGAATGGCCCAAAGCAAATATGACAAAGAAGTTCTTTCTTTGAATATCCTGGTGTCCTAATTTGTCTTAGGGTGTTAACAGATGTCAGGATATAAACAACAAAATAAGCGAGTAGGTACAATGAATGGAGTCCTGGTGTTGCGCTGTGGGTTAATGCGCAGGACTGCAAGATCGGTTTGAACAGCAAGGTCGGTAGTTCAAGCTCACCAGCCGCTCCTCGGAAACACTAATATAGGGTTGCTGAGTAGGAACCGACTCGAAGGCACTTAACGCCAACAAGGTACAGTGAATAACGGGACAAGATCAGAGAGCATATGACCCATTCTCTCCTAAACCTACAAAACGTGGTTTACGGTAATAATTTTCATCACACGACAAATCGTAACTCTCAATGTGCAGATGTGGACGCATTATTATTCGAGCTGTATGAAAAGCAAAACGGTTGTCCTCAAACCATCATACTTCCCGCCCCACCCCTACCGTTTCCGCAAGCTCCCAGAGTTGGGATGCCGGGCACGCCAGCAGCTCAAGATTTGAAATTCTCCAAGGAAAGCGCACTGAAAGGTGAGGACAGACTGACAGATAAGTAGGTAGTAGATTTGGGTTCAGGAGTCCCAGTCCAGTTTGGTGGGGATTCCTACTAGCCGGCTCCTAAACTCCCGTCCGAGCGCAAATAAGGAAAAGGCGGGAGGAGGAAGGGACAGCTGTCTCCTAGAGGATTGAAAGGGAGAGGAGGCAGGCAGATTCTGAGCGCGGCATTGAAGATGGAAGTGTGGAAGTACGACGGAGAAAGGGAGATATAGAGGAAATCCACTGACAGGGGATATTTGGTCAAAGGCTCCGTTCCCATCACCTGCTCTCCTTTCTCCAACTGATCTTTTGCTTGTTGCGCTCCGAGTTCCTGTGGCGCCGCCATAGCGGCAGTTCCCGCCACTTCCTGAAACCCTCCTTGTGGGAGACTAGTTCAGCCCCCCGGAAGGAGGGCTCTCAAGGAGGCCACGCCCACGCGCCTTGGCAGGCCTCGGACCCAGTGCTTCTGGGAGTTGTGGTTTTCACTCTGCTTCCAGGTCAATTACTAGCCCTAGACAAGGTTGATCCTGAACTCTTGTACTCTAATATTATTTGTCCTGTCTCCTCCGCCCACTCCGTCCAAAGTGTATGGTTTTCTGCATTTACATTATTCAGTAGTATCCGACTTACTACGTTTTTGTTCCAACGTTAAGTTGGTTCTAACATAAATAGAACAGTCATCTTGCTGCTGTTATTATTATTGATTTGTTTCAGTAGCTTTATAAATACAATCTTTATTTGTCATTGGGGTTGGAAGCATTACATATAAACTTACAGCTACATTTTAATACATACATTAAAAATGCACAAATCATTTTTAAAAATCCAAGGGTGGTGTGATTGGTAGTGACTCAAATACTTCAGGAACTACCTGTATTGTTTACCTGTGCAATTACTCTGCTTGAAATCTCTTAGGCCACTTGACTCTGTGTGTGATGTGTCAACTTGGCTAGGTTGAAACTTTATTTCCCAGAATTCTCATTCTAGTATGTTTCTAGTTTAGGACAAGCTACAAGGAAAATTCTCTCTGAAGGGCTGGTGAACACAAAGGGAGGCAGCAGCTGTTTTGTAGAACACACACACACACACACACACATCTTCTCCCAGTTAATCAATCAAAGCTATTCTAGGTGCTGCTGTGAAGGAATTTTGCGAATGTAATTACAGTCCCAAATCAACTAGAAAGAAGACTAGTCTGGCGGGCCTGACTTAATCAGGTGAGAAAGCCCTTTAAAGAGGATTTATACCATAGGAGTGCTTAGGTAGTACACACAGGGAAATACTTCACCAAGTGAAAGCTTGGCAGTTTGAACCAGTGCTTTGAACTGGTTTTGTCTTGGTTCCAACCACTGCTGAGAATTTGCATTTCATTTCCACCCCAGATACATTTCATTTTTTAAGCAGATCCCCAGGTGATTCTTATGTATATCAACATTTTAAGAATCACTTTCCTGCAACTATTGGTCTCTCCATGTGTGAAGAAAGAAGAGTAATGAGAATTGAAGATGCACAGAACCAGTTAGTCCAGTGGATTAATGGAACACTTGAACATCAGTCTCCAGAAGAACTAGATGGTGTCTAGCTATCACTACCAACTTCTGTGAACAGGATCATGATAGAAGGTCCCAGAGAAACTGGGAGAAAATGTGGAACAAAACTAAAAAAAATTTTTTAACAAAAAACACCAGGCTTACTGGTCAGAAAGAGACTGTAGGAACCCAAGACTATGGCTCTCGACCACCCTTCAGGCCTGGAAATCACCCTGTGGTTCAATTTTCAGCCAAGCAGTAGATAGGTACATAGGGGAGACAATACTAGTAAGATATCCTCACCATGGAATGGTTATTCATTCAAAAAGAAATCCAAAGGACGTTTACCTGAACGAAAAGTTGAGAAGGGCTGGAAAGGCAGGTGGAATGGAAATAGGAGTCACAGGGAGGAAGTGGGCTAACTTGTTGCAAGGAGGGGATTGTAAACACTGAGATGAAACAAAATTTGTGATTTGTTGAATGTAAAATTGATGATCTTATCTGTAACCTTCACTCAATTCACAATAAAAAGGTTTTTTTTAAAAAAAGTCACTTTCCTGAGTTCTATGAGACATTCAAGCAAATTATTGAGCCTAAGGATGTATGTGTGAGAACCTCTAAATTTGTAGCCAGGTGGTCAGGTCAGAAGTGATGGTGGCCTGGGGACCTAAGCTTGTCTGAAGTTAAGAGCAGTTGTGTGGGGGACTGTGCCCGTAACCTGTGAGGTCTGGCCCAACTCTGGGTAGCTGGACTTTTTTTGGAGGCATAGTGGGGAGTCTATTTCTTGATGTTGTATTCTGTCTAACTGCTCAACTTATTTGTATCAAAATACACTGTTTTAAATGTGAAACTTTGCATTAATGTAGGGCTATGAAAGAATACTGAAGATCAAAGACACAGTCTTCAGAATGGGTTTTATGTTAATGTAAAGAAAACAAAAGATCCTCACAAATTGACCAATAAATAACATCATGATAAATGAAGAAAAGATTGAAGTTGTCAAAGGCTTCATTTTGCTTGGATCAACCATCAACACTCATGGAAGCAGCAGTCAAGAAATCAAACAATGAATTGCATTAGGCAAATCTGCCGCACAAGACCTCTTTACAGTGTTCAAGAGTAAAAATGTTAGCTTGAGATCTAAGGTGCACTGGATCCAAGCCATGGTATTTCCAGTAGCGTCATATGCATGTGAAAATTGGACACTGATTAAGGAAGACCATAGAAGAATTGATATACTCAGTTATGGTGTTGAAGAAGACTATTTAAAGTACCATGGACTGCCAAAAGAACAAACAAATCTGTGCTGGAAGAAGTACAGCCAGAATGCTTGCTCCTTAGAAGCTAGGATGGCGAAATTTTCTCTCTCTTACTTTGTATGTATTATCAATGTTCCTGGAGAAGAGCACATCATGCGACGTAAAGTGGAAGGTCAATGAACACCAGGAAGACCCCCAACAAGATGGACTGGCACAGTAGCAGCAGCAATAGACTCAATCCTCAAGCTTAATGATTGTGAGGACAGGGCAGGACTAGGCAGTGTTTTGTTCTGTTGTGTATAAAGTTGCTATGAGTCAGACTTGACTCGACAGCACCAAACAACAACAGCACGAAAGAGAATTCGATTTAAATTTGTTAGCAGATATTATTGGGTTATGTTTTGCTTTCCATATAACCTCATAACTGAAGAAACTCAGAAAAAACTCAACAACAAAGACAACCCCGACCCCCGTTACAAAATAAACTAATGTTCATTCTTAGGAGAAGAACTATGGGCCAACTTAGGGGCTGCCTACCACATGTGATTTTAATAAGTGTACATACAGTATTCCAGAACCTACATGATGGCAAAGGGTTTAGTTTGAGTACAGTACGTCAATGTGACTACACTTCAAGGGTAAACTCATCCTGACTTCATAGCCATACTTAAGTGGATGACCACAGCCACAGTCTGGGGGAAGGAAAACAATGGATCATGATTCATCTGAATGAGAGTGAGAGACTGGGGTAGTGGAGGCACAAGGCAGTTAGGCAAACACATCAGAATGGACAATAGCCAAAGCCTTTCCTTTCACTTTGTCTGACCCATAGAGTGAATGCATGACAGCTGACATGCAGATCTGCTGAAACACACTTATCCACCAGCAACACAGAAAACAGACAACCAAGAGGAAATGTTTTTTCATACAAACACTATGTACACATGTCCAGAAATGCAATAAACAAGAAGAAACCAGCATCCTATAAATAATGACGTTATTATTTCATCTAAGAACACAGCAATTAAGTTACTAAGGGTTGTCAAAAGGAAACCATTCTTGGAAATCCTACACTCAGTTTACTCTGTTAGGGAAAATAGTGTTGATTTGGTTCTAGTCACAGTTCCATCATCTCTCCTTTCTGTATGAGTTCGGCTTCAATGGTACACTAAAGGAAGAAAGGGACAGCAAAAATACCATCAATAGGCATATTAAACAGGTGTCTTAAAATATTTTTAAAAAGGAAATTGAAAAGCAACTGTGAAATTTAAAAAATATCACTATGGATATCAAATATGCTTTTTCAACATTCTCTTGCCTTTGCACCTATCTTCTCTCCCTGTGGGCCCCCCCAAAAAACAACAACAACAACAACAAAAAACTCATTTGCAGATTCCTTAGAGGCATGATGAGTCGGTGGAAGGACACAGGAACAGACTTCTCTGACCTTCACCTCTGAAGTAACCACCTCCCACAATGGCCCCAGCATCACCTCTTCCTACTCTCACTGCCACTGTCCTCATTCCTTCTCAGTTGGCCTCAAGAAGCCAACTGGCTTCTGTCATTTCCTTTCTCTTCTCTGATCCGCCCATCACTGCTTCCAGAACAATCTTCCTAAAGCACTGGCTTGACCAGCAAGCACAGCTCTGATGATCACATTTCTCTTCAGCTTTAAAAACAAGAGAAGGCAACACTCAGTAGATTTCACTGGTTCCTGACAGCCTCCAAACGCAACCCTTCTTAATATTTAAAGCCCTTTATATTATAAACCTGGAGTTCCGGTGTGGTGCTGTAGGATAAAGTGCTGGACTGCAAGGTCTGTTTGAACTGCAAGTTCGGTGGTTCAAACTCACAAGTCATTCCTTGGAAACCCTATTCAGGGTCGATATGAGTCAGGACCAACTTGATGGCATTTAATAACAACAACATATAAACCAGTTGACCTTATGTAACCCTATCTTCCACTGTAAACTCCTGACTAGCTTGCACAACTACTCATCATTTGCTGTAGCTTGGAAAAGTCCACTATTTTCCATCTTTTATACCTTTGCTG